TCCGGCTTTTTTTTCTTTTTTCTTATGTGGTGCTGAGGAATCGAACCCAGGGCCTCATGCATGTGAGGCAAGCACTCTACCACTGAACCCCTTTCTCAGCCCCAAAACTTTCAGGTTCTTTTTTTTTTTTTTTTTCTTTTGGTCGGTTGTGGGGCTTGAACTCTGGTCCGGGACGCTATCCCTCTGCTCTGTCAGTTCCAGGGAAGCGCTCTACCATTTGAGCCACAGCGCCATTTCGGCCTTTTTCTGCTTATGTGGTGCTGTGGAATCGAACCCAGGTCCTCATGCATACAAGGCAAGCACACTACCACTGAACCATCTTTCCAGGCCCTCTCTTGGACTTTTTTTACCCAGGTTGGCTTCAAACCTTGATTCTTAGATCTTAGTCTTCTGAGTATCTAGGACTACAGGCATGAGCCACTAGCACCTGGCAAGGTCTCTATTTGTGCAAATTTTTTTTTTATTTGTGCAAAATTAAAAAAAAATACACACACACACATATATACACATTATATGCAGATATATATATATATATATATATATATATATATATATATATATATAAAAACTAAAGAGAAATAAGTAGAGCTAATTTTGCTCTTTTTAAATTATATTTCACTTGCTGGGCACTGGTGGCTCATACCTGTAATCCTATCTACACCAGGAGGCTGAGATCTTAAGATCGCAGTTCAAAGCCAGCCCAGGCAGGAAAGTCTCTGAAAAGTCTCAGAAAACCGGAAATGGAGCTATGACTCAAAGTGATATAAGGCTAGCCTTGAGCACTGTCTGGGACAGTGTCCAGACCCTGAGTTCAAGCCCCACAACCAACCAAAAAGAGAAACATTATAATTTACTGAAGATTTTTTTTTTTGGGTCTGGTCGTGGGGCCTGAACTATGGGCCTGGGCGCTGTCCCTCAGCTCTTCAGCTCAAGCTAGTGCTCTACCACTTGAGCCACAGCGCCACTCTTGGCTTTTTTCTTTTTGCTTATGTGGTGCTGAGGAATCGAACCCAGGGCCTCATGCATGCAAGGTAAGCGCTCTACCACTGAGCCACCTTCCCAGCCCTTCACTGAAGATTTTAAAATAAAATCTTTTCAGTGTCTCTCAAAACAAGTCATGCCGTCACTTAATTATGGTGCTTTACATCTATATTTCTAGCCACTTAATGTGGGCTATAAGAGGTGACCACTGTTACTTTCGAAGCTCGGCAACTTATACTTTTTGCCAGTACTAGGGCTTGAACTCGGAACCTTGCACTCTCACTTGGCTTTCTTGCTTATGGCTAGCACTCTACCACTTGAGTCATTCCTCCAATTCAGTTTTTGCTCATTAATTGGAAATAGAGCCTTTGGACTCACCTCCATCCCCCCTCCCCCACTTTTTTTTACCTGGATTGGCTTCAGATCATCTTCCTGATCCTTGCCTAGCTAGGATTCCAAGTATGAGCCACTGGATGCCTGGCCCTATTCTGGGATTTAAAATCAGACTTAATTTACATATCTAAAATCAAAAGTTCCCACCGGAATCTTATTTTTTTGTCTTCCACCAGATACCAGCACCTGCTAAATGATATCCACCAGTGTTATCTTGATCAACGGGAACTTCTTTTGGGTCCTAGTATTGCCTGTACTGTCACAGAATTAACTAGCCAGAACAACAGAGATCATTGTGCCTTGGTAAGTTTCTACCTAGTTTTGTTTAATGCTAAGTGTTCCTTAGAGCTATGTTTATATCTTAACTGATTTGCCTATCTCTTATAATAATATTGGTTGTCCCTTGATATTTCTGAGAAGTTGCCTCCAGACTTAATTTTGTACCACATATTTTGGGAACATGCCTTTAGTTTCCATATCGCAAACTAATTCTATTTTTCAGATATGGCAGACTGGTTTAATAATTAGCCTTACTTAATTTTGCAAAGTGTTCTCAATTTATTTTATTTTATTTCAATTAATTTTTGTGCCAGTTCTGGGGCTTGAACTCACAGACTGGGTAGTACCCCTGAGCATTTGTACTCAAAGCTAGTGCTTTGCCACTTGAGCCCTTGTTCTACTTCTGGAATTGGAAAGAAGAGTCTCTGGGACTTTCCTGTCTGGGCTAGTTTTGAACTCTGATCCTCAGATCTCAACCTCCTGAGTAGCTAAGCTTAGTGTAGTTTTTGATAGGGAAATACCTGTTAGTGTGTTTTTAATTCATACTATAGAAAAATACATAAAGGAGAGTTTTCTTTTTCGGTCATGGGGCTTGAACTCTGGGCCTGGGCGCTGTCCTTCAACTCTTCAGCTCAAGGCGAGTGCTCTACCACTTGAGCCACAGTGCCACTTCAGTTTTCTGAGTAGTTTATTGGAGATAAGAGTCTCATGGACTTTCCTGCCTGGGCTGGCTTTGAACCATGATCCTCAGATCTCAGACTCCTGAGAAGCTAGGACTTCAGGAGTGCGCCCAGCAGGAGTCTTTTTGTATGTACCCTTCTTTTGACTGGAAAATTAATTTGTGTTCATTATTTAAAGTTTAGAAAATAGAGCACTAAGAAAATAAAGGGCTGGAGATGTGGCTCAAGGGTGCCTTTCTGGCAAGTACAAGGCCTTACGTTCAAATTTTAATATCCCCTTTTTATCCCTACCAAAAAAGGAAGATTATCTATTACTCCATTTTGTACTTATCCTTTAAAAATAAGGCATTTTCTGTTGTTGGTTTTTTTTATTTTTTTATATTATTTTATTTGTGAAGATACTGTACAGAGGGGTTACAATTACATGGGCAGGATAATGTGTACATTTCTTACCAAGCATTACAGCCTCCTCCTTTTGTTTACCCTTCACATCCCTTCCCAGCCTC